GGTTCACGGTGGTCGTGTCGCATTCCTGAAAGTGGAAGGCTTCATTCCCCTGCCATGTATCTACAATACGCCTAGCAAGCCGGCTATGTCTGCTAGTGTCCTAAATATGGTCAGGGCCTTCAATTATGGTAGCGCTCAAGCACTCGGGCCCTCGTCTATGCTGAAACCGAGATCCCCAACGCAAGCTGCAAGCTTCACCCCTGAACTTATGAGAGCCTGGACCCTCTAAAGCCCTACAAGAACAGCTTCAAAGCCCTTCTTAAAGAGCCCTGGCGCCCAACAGCTTCCACCCACTGCAACCTTAATCGCCCTCTATGGACCCTTAAACCCTGAGCCTGCAACTCTCATACTTCCAGTTGTCGTACCCCTCAGTATAACTCTTATGATACCCCGTGCAGTAACTCTTCACATACCCGTTTTAGCAAGTTATAGTACTCCGTATCGGAACTCTGTAAGTACATGTTGTAACAGGCCCCTAAACCCGTAAGCCCTCAGACCTTACCCGAAATCCCAGACAGCCCTCCCTACAAGGGCTCCCAAAGGGCCCTGCTGAGCCACAGGATCGCTGTGCGCAGATGCGGGAGGAGATCCTCAGAATGCAGAAGAGCCGCGAGAAGATCGAGGCTGCAGGGAAATGAGAGGGTTCTTCAAGCGCGTTTGTGGACGTTACTCTGCCATTCTGACTATTACCTTCCTTCTTCCCACTATTGTTATGTTTCAAATTGCTATTGTTATCATTACCATTATTAAGAAAGTTTTCGTTGTTGTTGTCATGTCTATATTTGCTTCATTAGTGTTCCTCTTCATCTTCTTACAAGTACGATTATTATATGCGTAGTTACTATAATGAGTGTGCGTCTAATCATTATTGTGCTTGGTAAAAATTCTGGGGCGTTTAAAAGCACGCCTGTTGGAAAACACATGATGGGATGTTGCAGGGTTCATTACGAGGCTTTGTGTGTTATTTTACAGGATGTAGGGAATTTTGGGGGGTTGATCCCGGGCTTTGAATGGACTCTTACAGAAATTTTAGCTTGGGTTGAGTATGGGGTTTAGGCGTTTACGGGGTTCTGAGGGTGTTGTGGAGGTCTTGAGAGTGAGTTTCCCCCAGACAGTGTCGCGACACTATGGGCCATCTTGGGGTGTTTCTGGGTGGAAATCGTGCTCCCGCCACAGCCCCCTGCTCATTTGTCACACCATTCGACTCCTGAGGTCTGATTGGTGTACTCCCGATCTAAGGGCTTCTGGATTTTCGCGAAACTCCAAGTGGTGCTCCTGGTTCCGCGCCGTGCTCATTTTGAAGGTGTGCTTCGTCTTCCACAGTCCTCCGAAACTCCTACAGCGGCTGACACAGGGGCCGGAAGAATCAACAATAACTTGTACCCTTTGAAAAAAACTATGCGAGAAGATGCCCCTTGCCGGGATCCCGGTATACTATAGAATTATAGAAGAGTATACCCCAAACCTTTGTTCTAATGATTAAGAGCCCTATATTATGTAGGGCTTCAACTGCTAGGTGCTGTTTCAGTGGTTGGTTGGTTCGCGCCAGCGTTTTATCAGAACTTTAGAAAGGTTTAAGGCCCTAGCGCTTTGAGCGTTTCAGAAGGTCTTCGGGTTGTGTTGCGCGTGTCTTAGGGTTCCTCGGGCGTTTGGATTTATCGTCATCAGTGTCCAGGGCATTGCTGGATTGGGGTGTAGGATAATTAGGGTAGAGGGTTTCTACGGGTTCAGGCAACCCGGGCAGTGCATGTCGTGCGTTGTTGATCTTAGGGGACAGGATCTAGAAGATAAGCGGGTACTGGCAACACCAGCAATTCCTAAGCGAGTGTTGGACATTGCGAGCAAAAGACGAAGCCACGGCTTCACCCATATGCTAAAGTCCACAAAGACAGTAGGTTGATAATTTAGAAGAAGGAATTTAGGCTGAACGCAAGAGCATGGAGTTTCAGAAGATGCACAGCTTTGAAGCATGTTGCTCTCAGGTGGAAAAGCCCATGCGAACTATATGCCCAATGTTACAGATTTAAGAAATGTCGTTGGCCTCATTCGGCAAATGCTGACGCCGTCGACAGCACATCAGGATAGACCTGGACAGGACAAGAGTAACTGCAACCCCGGTCGGTTTCGCCGTCGTAGCGAAGCACTGCATGTTGTGCCAGAAGGGTGAACTGAGTCAGACTATGAAGATTGTCGAAGGCACTGTTTGAGAAGTATTTGGCGTCAGAGCACGATGTTTGTGCCAACACCCTTTGTAGTTCCATGACTTCTATCACTGCTAATAGTCCTGCGGTCGAGACTACACCTTCGCTGAAGGCTGTAAGTGAGCCATGTTTCTTATGAGAACATGACGCCTGCTGTCAGTATTCATGCCACCGTCATGTTCCGGACCAGCAGCGCTTAAAGGAACTCCCAAGCCGAGCGGAGCGCAGCCAGGCGCGAGTCCAGAGCATTGCGGACCTCATGCAAGAGGAAAAGCTCGAGCACGAGGCCAGAGCTAAAGGTTCCAAGCTATGACCCCTAACATAGGGGCCTTCACAATCAGAATAGGGTTTTCGAGCGGGAGAATTACACGGCGCATGTAGAGGAACGATAAGTGAAGGGAACTGTGTGTTGAGCCGAAGCATCAACTGAGGGCGCCTCTCTGAAGTACTCTTTAGGTCCGTGGGTTTGGGCTCGGCCAACCTTCATACTATTCTTGTTTGGATGGGAAGGGAACACTCCGGTCTGTGGTTATGAAGATACGGAAACCCTCCCTTAGCCACCCTTAGCCTCCCTTATCCGCAGGCCGGAGATCACCAAGTGAAAGAGCATCCTTGGAAGAGTCCGGTGTCGTCATGGTCAGTACATGCAGTGGATATACTGAGCAGCATATTAGTATTCACAGCTCAACACACGCTGCAAAGAGCTCCAGCCGCTGCCTGCAGAGGCAAAGCTGCAAAGCTTCCAGAAAGACCTGCCCTCGAGCCGCATTATGTGCAGGGCAACCTAAGCTTCAGACACCCTGCCCTACTCCATCCTCGCTTCACGTACGCTTTTCCCGCCAAGCCCATCACCCATCGGGAGCTTGCAGCATGCAAGGTGCAGGTGGTGGAGGGCAATTGCATGGTTCATGTTGTATTCTGGAGTTGGCTTCCGAACCTGACACACTATTCATAATACGATTACGGACAATGATACTAGGAATGATAACCATGGTTCTCCGAGTCTTTCGTTGTGTCAGCAGATTTCGAGCCTGCGCTCACCTGGTCTCGCCCCTGAAGCTCAGCTCAGGTCCCAGTTGCTGAAGACCCTGAACAAAGGCGCGGCTCATGATTTTTGTTGTTATCAGGATTGTTCTCAGTATTAGTATTGCTATTAATATTGGTATCATTACTATGATGATTTAAGACTGTTTGTATTGTTATGATCAGTATTCTTATGATTATGACTAGTTTGATTAGTATGACTCTCGTTATTATTCTAATTATGGCTTTCTGATTATTATCATGATCTTTATTGTGAGTATTCGTCTGATGATGATGCTGATGACGATGATGATTTTGCGTATTATTAGTATCATTACTCTTCTTAATAGTACTATTGTTATCATGATTATTGTTTTAGCTGTATGTGTACTAGTACTATTCTTCGTCTGCGTTTTCTTCTAATTATTCTTGTTCTTATTGTTGCTATGACCATTACTAGTGTTATTCTTATGATTGGTATTAGTGTTGGTGTTGTTAACTTTCTTTGTCAGGTATCAGAAACAAGACCAGCAGCAGAAGCAGCAGCCAAAGGACCCGTACGGAATGAGAAATGAATGAGATCTCTCACCGCCATGATCAACGAAATATTGAAGCCGGTTATTGTGCATGCTAGCAAAAAGTACATAAGTTTGTTTTCGTATGATATCTGCACATGCAAGAGAAGCAACCACATTTCAAGATAAATGCTTGGACGAAACATAAAGTTAAAGGTTCCAAAATGGAATGATGATCCGGAATGGTGCGCAAAAAGAATCCCAACGGCTTATACAAACCCAAAATGCACGAGAAAGCCAACGCACTATGTGAGCTGTGCAGAAGCACCATTTCTGCCACCCGAAATGATACAGGTGTAGGGTGGGTCTTAGGTGTTTTCGCTCATGGGGCGAAGGCGTGGCCGAGGCTAACTCATAAACCCTTTCAAACACCATGTAAAGCTTTACGCCAGCCCTGGACAAGAGGCCCAGAAAGCCTGTCATGTGCGATCCCGAAGGTGTGACGTGCAGAGTCGGGTATCGGGCAGGTTTGGTATGTAGGGTAGTACGTTTGGAAACATAGTATCTAACTGTAATAGTGCATGAAACGCCACATGCAGACCCTTGCGCTGCTGGAGAAGTACAAGCTGAAAAGGGAACAATTCCTTGGCTACCTTCGGCGACACATCTAGGATTGCAGGGCAAGCTTGCGGCTTCTTGCCAGACTGTTCTTTTCCCAGTGCCGCCTTGTGCCAAAGGCCTGGAGGATAGCGTGTCGACCAGCATGAATTTGATGAAGGCCGCGACATGGGTTTGCAGTTTATTGCTTGGCAAAGGCTTTCGGGCGCTGTTCAAGGGGAGTTGTGGGAGTTGTCAGGTGCCTCAGCCTCTTGGGCATCAGTCTACCCTTAGACCTGAACTAATAAGACAAACCTAGAAACTTAACATCTACAGTCCAAACAAATAACGAGCGAATACCTTGGGCTTGAAACCCCTAAACTTGCGGTCGTTTCTATGGTGTAGGGCTCCAACACCGAAAGAGAGAAGCAAAGGCTCGGCTACGCAATCGCAGTCCCTTCGGATGTGGGGTTAGTCTAAGGGTTTAGGGTTTAGGGTTTAGGGGTACTGACGGAGTCATTACTAGGAATATAGTTCAGACTATGCGAACCCAGGGACTTTAGGATCTTTTGCTAGAACGTCCTTTTTTGCAGGATCCGTGCGGCCGTGTCCCCGGAAACCCAAATCCATGATAAGTGCTGGTACACTGCTATCCTTTGAGTCTCTGCATCGCCGTGGTGTCCTGATGCTCTCCCCTGGTCCACTGGTCGTCAAGGCTGTCGCCGTGCTCTATCACCTCAGGTTGCTTAGTATGACTACGGTTACCCTGTTCTAATCATTCAGAGGGCGGGGATCGGAAGGAGGGGTCAAAGAATCGGGCGTTGGAATTGATTGTTCCATGCGTTCTGCGAGCCTTGCGAACGAGGAAGAAACAGAGGAAGCTGAAGTTTTTAGAATCAGGGGCCCCAAGTTTGGGACCCTCGTATTCAAGATCCTTCTTCTTGGCGTTATTTACCTGGGTCCTCTGTTGCCCGAATGAGATTGCCAGATAGATGCTGCGATAGGTTTTCGGTAAATCGAGCCTGCGGTTTCAGAGACATTCTTCAGGCATATGCCTGAAATAATATTAAGAATCCTTCTGCAGTGAACCGTACATTCCTTATGCAAGGGGAGCTGGGCTCTCAACAATTTCTTGATACCCTGGCGCTCAAACCTACGAAGACACAATCGTGGAACCCATGTGATGTGCCTGGCCCATGTAGATCAGAATCAGCATCATCCTTAAACCCTAAACCCTAAATGCTCATGGGGCTTTCGGAGAGGTGAAGCTGGTTGAGACCGAGAAGCTGCTCAAAACGCTCCCTGGTGCAGGGCGATCTGATCTTCAGTCCAATGCCGGCTTTTCCTAGGTGGTACTAGGGAGACCCCTTAGGGGGGACCCTTCTAAACCCTACTTATGGCTCTCTCAAACGGGACCTTATTGAGAGGGTCTATATCCCCAAGGGTCCCCCTAACCCTCACTCCTGGACTTCTATAGACACGCCGACTCAAGACGTGGCAGTTGCCTCGTCAGCTTTGGGGTTATAAGGCCTGCGGAAAATCATTGGATGTAGCTTCTGGAGGGAGAGCTGCGGGTCGTCTGTCATGTAAAACTGCTGCCAGCCGCCCCCGCGTGCCCGTGTGGATGCGCAACATACCTGTGGATTGGGGAGACACGGCAAGGAATGGGTTGGCTTTCAGCAGCTAGCGTGGAAGGAGCATGTCTGCTGAAGGGCATTAGGCTGGAGCTACCCCGACGCCAAGTGCCCCTTAGTATCGTTCAACGCTCAGGGCATCCTCCTGTCGTTTCTTGCCGCCTTATGTGCCCCTGCAAGCCTATTCACAGGAAGCTACTGCAGGCCCGCGACGCACTCCCTGAAGCTTGATCCCCGAATCTAGAGAGAAAGTCTTCCTAAGCGTGTCGATACACATGATATTATCATAGAACAGACTATGCTGTCGTATTTCATAAACGTTACAGATTATAAATATGGCCATTTGTTCATGGCTTCCCTTGATCGAAGCAAAGGCTCATCAAGCAGCTGAACAGCTCCTACACCCCGGCTTTGAACGAGGCGAAGGTGCCTCTCGGAATTCTGCCCTCAGCGCTTTCTGTTTCAGGCTTCTGCATTAGGTTTTACATTAGGGCTTCGGTCTTATCTGTGGTCCCGGGTTCAGGGCTTGTGGGGATTTTTGGAGCCTCTTTGCCCGATTCCCTTCGTCACGCTGGCATTTTCAAGACTGGTGCGATGGGAATTGGGGCTTTCAAGCATGGAGCTTCTTATTGCAGCAGAATTGCGCGAAAGTTAGTCGCTCTATACCTCCGTACCAAGGCTCCTGTCTTACCGCATGAATTTGGCAAGATGTTACGACTGCCCTTAATTACGTGCGTAGCCCTAGCCCAGCCCCGAAGTACCGAAGTACTGATGTACATGGCACCTGAGAAGGACCCTACTACGACTCCGACTTCCTTATAGGATCCCGTACAAAAAGCAGCTTTCGGGCAGTGCCTAGCGTCCTGTGAGGGCTAAGAGCACTCTTGTCATTCGGATATCGCGTGTTATGACCCTCGTAACCCCTGCAAGCTAGGGGCCGTGTTGTCGTGCATCTCTCTGACAGTGACTTTATTCGTATCGCACGGCGCTCGAAAGCTCAAACAAAGCCCACATAACCGGCAAGTCACAGGCCTAAATTCGCTCAGCCAGTGCTGGCCTGAGCTTAGCCGGACGATGGCCCGTGTGGGCTGTCAGTCTCGGCATTAAGAATAATAATTAAGAATAATAATAATAATAACAAGAATAGTCGTACGCCGCTGCGCGGCCCGCCTCGGCCCGCCACTCCTCATGTTCGGGGGGAGCTGGGGGTGTGCACGTTTGGCTTCTCAGATTCTCTCATCCTGCCAACCACTCATGAGCCCAAAAGGGGTCTGCGGGATGCTTTTAGGACTCGGACACCGACTGCGACAGAGAACTGAGTCACTGCATGCATCCTCTGTTCGCGGGTTGCAAATCCCTGGGAGCATCCGGCCATCGCGGCTGTGTGCTTGGAGCACGCACGTTTCCGGGTACCCTCTTGGATCTCGAAGTCAAGTTTTGAAAGCGCCGAGAAGGGTTCTACGGCCCTTGTGTTGAGTGTATAGATGCTCGCAATGGTGATGAGACACATTTCCGAATGGGGAGTGCTTCTGGCGGTAAGCAGTCCACCATCCCTTGTCGTGGTCGCATGAAGCCGCATTCTGAACAGCTGACATCGCAAGGTTCTCTTTATCTTTGACTGGGTCGGGCACTCGGGCACTTTCTTCTTTTGGGATTGCGAAGCGGTTCCCGGGCAGCCGAACAGCGACTGAGGATGACACCCTGCTCTCCACCTCAGCCATCAAAGCCAACGAGTTCCTGCGCTGCCCTTGACAGCTCCATGCATGCCTGGGGAATATCCCGAGAAGAAGTCGACTCAAGCCCATTTGTTTGGGTTCAAAACAGGGTTTTGGGGTACAAACGGTATGACCACTAAAGATTGGTGTCTCCCTCACGTCGTCGCTGCAGGCCTCACCAGTTAAGTCTGCTGGAGAGCCTCGTGGAGCAGGCTCACGCATGTCGCACATCGGATGCACGTCGCACTGTCATACTGTTCTTGTAGTGATCCTTGCTGTTGTGGTGGCTGTGGTTGGTAGGGTGTTTCTTGTTCATTGTCATGTGGTGTTGCTCGGTGTCGCGTGCTGTCTGTTGCCGCTGCCGTGTTGGCCTCGTTGGCAAACTTTTTGTGTTTTAGTGGTGCACCGCGGTCGCAGGTTGTGTGTGATTGGACAGCCCGGATTGGGCATGTTCTTTTCAGCGGGCCAGGTGCTTCTGGCGGCCATGCGCCATGGGGAGACCTGCATCGTGACCAATGCGGATGAGAACCAGCCCTAGCGGTAAATTGCTGGTGCTTCAGACATGGTGTCACTTGCAGATTGGGGTTTCGGCTGCTGTGAGGAAGTGGGTCACCAAGAGCGCAAGGCACTACATGCCACGCCTGCTTCCACTACTGTCCGAGTCTCAGGAGCAGATAAAACACAACCGATTGCTGCACTGCAGTTGTAAGGATATAATTACAGTTCCCGCCTTTGTCTCTCAGGTCGCGCATGTCCGTCGTGTCGGCACGGCAGCGATTCGACCCTCGAGCCGCACTGGCATCCCAACCCTTACAACCCCGTGAGAACAGACTTCAAAGCGACACAACCTCAGGCCTCCATCCAATCTCAACTCTGAAGTCTCAAGAGCCCTGAAGCATCCGTACGCACAATATATGTACGTATCTCATATAACAGATTATATGTATATATGCGTGTGATACAGCATATGTATATATATATATATATATGTGTGTGTGTGTCTCTACGTATACAGTAATGTACATGCACACGTATTCTTGCGTTTCTCTCCCGGTATGCTACAGGGTGTTGGAAGATCCCTGAAGAAACTCACTCAGGAGCACACCTGGCCTGGCGACCCCTTCGCATGGAAGCGGGAGACGTTTCGCCAGGCCGGTGCTAAGAGACGTGTCGGATGCATGAATCTAACGTTCTGTTATGCTGCAATATGGAGGTTTGTATGTACATGTTCGGGTGCAGGTAGGCAGATGGGTTTTCCACGGGCGAAGCCAAATGGGATGGTGCAGTACAAGTCAGTATCGTGCTACATCACGACTTACTCAAACCCCAACAGGACATGTTGTGTGGCAAACCCCTAGCCTTAAGAGAAGATCGTGGGTGGAAAAGACCAGAACAAGCGAACGAAATTTGCCTGGCAAAACCTGAATGCTGACAGTACATTTTGGTTGGCAAACCCTACCCACAAAGGTAGCTTGGCAAACCCCCCAGCTCTAATCTCGGAAAGTACTGTTTTTGTGTGCCCCGGGCAGGTCGTGTCGTCCTTTCAGGACGAGAATGCGCTGGCTGCCGGCGGCATGAACCTAAGCCGACAGCTCAGAGGTTTCTTGCGTTGGCGATTTCTTTGGGTGGGGAGCTCGGGGATCTGAACAGCTGTGGGTGGTTGGGGCTCAGAGTTCGATGCAATTTCCGGGTGTTCTTGGCCAGTTGTCATCGGCGACGGCGAATACGAGATGCAAGCAGTGGGAGCCTTGGGCATCCTCTGAGCGTCGGGCATAATGGAAGGTCTTAAGGATTTTGGGACGCCTTGCCAATTTCGTCCGTGAGCGAATTCGAGCCGATCGTTCACCCGCAGGGATACATGTTCCCCGACAAGAGTCGTTAAGTCCAGGAACTCGGGAGGCTACCCGAAACCTTGGAAACAAACTTACCCCTCAACCCTAGCCAGGCCCCTAACTGCTTGGAAAAGAGCCCGTAACAAGATAAAACGCTACACTTAAGCAGTACGCAGCGCCCTAATTCTTGCATGAAGTCCATGCCGCGAGGCACACACGTCCTCTGTGTCGCCAGCGGCCGTGCGTGGCTCCCAGTGAAAGGGATCCGGGATTGCAGTGACCTGTAGACACGTAACTTGTCTGTTTACACAGAATACACGCACCCGAGAATGTGTAGCCGTATGTGTATATATATATATATATCCATATGTATGTGTAGATATAGATATAGATATATATATATATATACAGTTATGTGTATGTGTATATATATATGTATATATAGAGTTATGTGTGTATATATATATATACGCATGTGTATGTATATGTATAGAGAGTATGTGTACGTGTACGTACATGTATATGTTCGTGTATATGTAAATGTATATGTACGTGTATGTGTAGGTGTTTATATATAAGTATATATGCATATGTATGTATGTGTGTGTCTACGTGTGTATATGTATGTGTATGTGTATATATATATATACATATCTGTATATATATATATATATCTGTATATATGTATACATATACACATGTACGTATGTATGTATGTATGTATGTATGTATGTATGCATGGATATATGTATGTACGCGGTATGTGTATATGCGTTAAGTGTTTACATGGTTATATGCATATGTGTGTGATTGCAGATCCTTCCTAGATCGCTGGCTTTGATATATGTGTTTATGTACATATGTATATGTATATGATATAAGACATGAATACGTATATGTGTATGTACATCTATCTATCTATCTATCTATCTATCTATCTATATATAATACATACATATCAACAAATACGGACACTTACATACACACATAATTCCGTAGGCACACACACACACACGCATGTACAACTCTTCCCTCACACAGACATATTGGCTCAAGATTAACAGGCATGCAGAGAGAGAGAGAGAGATATATATATATATATATGCACATACGTACATGCATATATAGACAGATGCACAGCCACGCAAGTGCACGGGCACACTCCAGCACTTACACACACACACATATACACTCCCACGCACCCCTCACTCACTCACCCACTCACTCACTCTCAGTCCCAGTCTCTCATACTCTGTCTCACATTGTTTGTTTGTCTCTCTCTCTCTCTCTCCCTCTTCGCTGTCTCTCTTCTCTCTCTGTCTCTCTCTCTCTCTCTCTCCTTCCCGTCGTTTTTGCCATGTGTGCATGCATGCATTCAATGCTGCATGCGTGTCCAGATAAATGAATGTGTGCATGCGATCATTATGCGTCGATACATACACGCATCCATGCATGCTTGCGTGCACGCATAGATGCATAATTGCATTTTAGTATACACATACAGATTCCCACGTTTATACTCGAATGCATAGTATACACTTACCGAAGCCCACATGTATGCTCGAATGCATGCATACTCCCATACAGGCGTCTCATTGTGAGGGGGCTGTTGCTGTTTAGGTGTATGTAGACACGTATACACACACCCAGAAAGACACACAGACATGCATGTATAAAGTACATGCTCACACGCATATGTAATCTACCAGAAATGTGTACGGAACATTGCAAAGCACATGTATACATGTGCAGACACGACTGTATCCAGGCAGTCCGGATGCAAGCCCCAAAACACGCGTGCAACAGAAGAGAAAGATCATCTCGCAAAGGCTCCATCTTGCATATTGCCCCAAGCCTTAGACCCCGAACCCTAATACCTAAACCGATTGCTCCATCACTCTTCATTTGGCCATGCTTGGACGATGGCGCTTTAAGCACGTGGCTTTTGTGCTTTAGGACTTTAGGTGTCAGTGCTATCTGAATCGCAACATCGGAGGTGAAATTCAAGGAGCGTCCCACCGTCGAAGAGCTGCTCGAGCAGCTGACAAAGCTGAATCAGGCCGACCGGAAACCTGCCGTAGGCCTCGGAAGCCTAAAGTCAAGAGACCTTGACAGGCGTTGACGACGCTTGCCAGCGTCTCGGGGGCTATGCTTCATGCAGTGTGTGCAAAGCTCTAGATTTCGGATGTTGTCGAGTTTGTATGTAGGTATGTATGTATGCATGTATTTGTGCCTGTACACACGTGGATGCGGGTGCATCGAGCTATGCACGGACGTATGGGTGTATGGACGTGTGTGTATGTACGTAGGTGTGTGTGCATGTTAAGTGCGTACGGGCGCAAATCTATATTGAGTTGTGCAGTCCCTCTTTTCCTATCTAGAGCTGCATATCAGTTTTCGGCAGGTTTCTTCTAGTTCGGTTGCGCAGGTATAGTTTCTATAATGTATGTCAAGCACGTCTGTACACAGGTCTTTGGCTATGTATGCTA